TTGTTTTTATTTAAATTTAGTTATGCAAGTGGATGCCTTATGACATACTTGGAATGATGATGTATTTTCTAGAGAAGGATCTTATCGTAATTTTAGTATGAAAACAAGATCACAGAGAAGTCATGCTTTTTTTATTATTCCTTACAGCAAAAACAATGTAGATCTTGATGATCTTGAAGATGGTGAAATTGACGACGACGACGATGATAACACGGTGCTCGCGGTCAGCTCAGCTCCTGCACCAACACCTTCCCTACCTCCATCTACTGGTCCATCAGCACCAAGAATTCCCCCGTTGCAAAAGAGTCCTGATGTTGGTCGTAGAGAACATCATGAGGGCTCTACTCTCCCTCACTACCTGCAGAGAAGACTTGGCCCTACTCCTCCTAAAAAGAAGAATAAAGGTTCATGGGGTCCACCAAAAAATAATTTCCCTCAAGAAGAGGAAGAGGATGACTTTGCTGTACATCTTGAGAAAATCTTGCTTGCTAAGGCCAAGGAGAAAGCTAAACAAGCCAAACTGGAACAAGGAGGGGAAGTTGAAGAAGTGGATGAGCCAAAAAGTGAAGAGGAGGATAACCATGGGAAAAAGAAGAGGAAGAGGAAAAAAAGTAGAGATGGGGATGGGGATAGGTCTAAGGTTTGTTTTTATTCCTTTTCCAAAAGTAACTCTAGAGAAAATATGTTGTCAACCATCCAACCACCTAATGTTTTCCTTTCTTTTCCTTATCAAACAGAGAAAACGTAGAGAAGGTGATGAGGATGAAGATGATATGATATTTGTCCGAGGTGCTTCACCACACAATGAACCTCAAGAACCTCCGTCTCCCTCATTCAGTAAGTTACTAATCATCATATTAAAACCCTTTTTTTCCCTATTATTTTCTAATCTAGTACTTACTTTTGCTTTTTTGAAAGCAGCATTTTTACTCATTATTCTATTTAAATATTGTCATTTTAGGGGATTATGATCTTGATCGTTCATATGAGTCATATGGTGAAGAGGAAGAAGATTACGATGGGAGCCCAGAACGATCTGGCCATGGCGGCTTCTCCTCGCGCGGTAGAGGCCGAGGTAATAAATCCATGCGAGGAAGTGGCCGCGGAAGGGGCCGCATGGGGACTCCTAATGAAGGTGGAAGAGGCGGATTTATGAATAAGAGGGGTAGCAAAAGGGGTAACGCAAGAGGAGGAGCTTCAAATAAATCTCAGCAGCGCTCTGGACGTGACCGCTCTCAAGATGTTTGCACATACTTTATGCAGGGAAAATGTCCAAAGGTAAGACTTAAATTATATAAATATTTTTCAATTAATTTTTCAATGATTTAGAGGCAACTGGGTTAATTTTTCAGGATGCTGATGAATGTCTATACTCTCATGATGCCCTCCCTAAAAGGAAAATGGAATTATGTAAATTTTACAACATGAATTGCTGTGCAAAACGCGAAAAGTGTTTGTACATGCACAAAGATTTTCCTTGTAAATATTTCCACACAGGAAGAAAATGTAACAGTGGTGATAAATGTAGATACAGTCATGACCCACTTAGTGATGGAACAAGAAGTGTCCTATTAAAGGTAACTTTTAACTACTATATAATTGAATCTTGCCCAAACTTCCCTGTTTTTTTGTAGTTGTTTTTGTCAAAAGTTCTAATAGTAATTTTATTTTCCTACAGCACATTGAACTTGCTCCAAAAGAAATTCTTGGTGAATTTAGAAGACTTACTAGAGAACAAGCAAATCAACTAATTGATAAGGCAGCCAAAATGCGTGCTGAAGGGAAAAATCCAGAGGGAGTTGATTTGCTCAAAGACGAAAATGAAGATGAGGCTGGTTAGTTTACAAATGATAGCAAACTAATAATAAGCACGGGTTTTCTTAGCCTTTATGCTTCATGCTTGTTTTGTTTCTTGCAGGCGATGAACGGGCGCACACTCCTATGCCTTCCTCTCCAGGTGAAGTTGTGCAACAAGAATCAGAGAGCAGAAGAAGTAGGGGGGAGGACAGCAGAAGAAGAGACTACTATGATCGCAGTTATGACCGTGATAAAAATCGTGATAGAAATCATTCTGATAGGAGAGATCAGAGTGAAAGGAAAGAACGCCGTGAAAGGAGAAGGAAAAGAAGGTGGGACAGTCCTGATAATAGTCCATCTCAGTTGAAGAAACTTCAAGAAAATTTGCAAAGACAGCTACGGGAACAAGAAGATAATGAAAGAGAAGATAAAATGTTTTCCAAAGCAGACACTAGTGATGATCTGGTCATAGATGAAGATGAAGGGGATACTCCTAAAATCTCAAAGTCAAGGTAAAAAACAATGCTTATTTTTATCAATGCTCTATCATACTAAATATCAGTAACTAACATTTCCCTACCTCAGCAGCAAAAACCCTCAAGAAGGTGACAACCATCAGAGTGACATAAATTCAAAGGATTCACGAGATTCAGGATTCACCCAAGTTAAGGATGAAACTTTATCTGAAAAGCTTAATGCAGAAGTGTCAAGTAAGATAGCTTTCTGTGTATTTAATTTCATGCATGAGCCCCATTTAATTCTTTCTAAATCTTTCAATTGATTGTATATTATTTTTACCAAGCAGCTGAGAGTGCAGATGATAGCCAAGAGACTCCAGGCACAATACCAGCTCATCTGCCTAAGCGGCAAAGAGAGCTCTTTTTACGTATACAGCAGCAGCAGCGTGAGGCAGAACACAATAGAGAAAGTAAAGATGAAGAATCCGAAGAGGATGCTGCGCTTGCTGAAGATGATTGGTATTCCAGTGATGATGAAGGTCCAACTTCTCTTACTGATGTTCTGAAGAATTTAAAAGACGGACAGGTAAAAATTTTCTTAGCCTACCAAATTTTGAAGTACCTTTCGTTTCCCTGTCCTCCTTCTCACACTATTCTCTTCATACAGAAGGAGGATGGAAAGAGTGGAAATAAACAGGAAGTTAATAAGTCAGCTAAAGAATCAAAAGAACCCAACCTGTCAGCATTTGACAACCCAAATTCTGACCAATCAAAAGGAAATGTGGGACAGTCTACTCGACGACCACCACTTTTACCTACCCCATCAACCTTAACAGATCTTGTGAAAAATACAGCAATAGATCAGTTACTTTCAACTATTCGATATGGTCCCACTGGATCTGGGCAAGCTGACAACACAAGGTAGAGCTCCTTTACTCAGTAAAGTGGTGAAACAATTTATCTGAAAATGTATTATTTTAAATTCTAATTTTGTGGATTATTTTTGTATTTCTAGCACACCGGTAGGCTTGAAGTCTCCCCCTACTCTGTCAGCATCATCTACTTCCACAGCTCCATTTCGAGACCCTCGCCTGTCAAGAGATCCAAGGAGCCGAATTTCTGCAACTGCAAGTAGCGTTTCACCCTCAGCATCACCATCGCAACAACCGGACGTCCGTCCAGACCCTCGGTTAGACCAGCGGGCTGAACCAAGGGCTGATTCATGGTCTGATCCATGGTCGGATTCCCGGTCGGATCCTCGGCCTGATCCCCGAGCCGAAAGGCGGGATCCCAGAATGGACTCGCGTCTGGATGCTTCTCATGCAGCCATGGATTCTTTAGCTAGCCCTCGATCTGAACAGAGAGGCGATCCTCGTGCATCTCGCAGATCCTTTGAAGGTGTCAGCACTAGCCTAGGAAACAATCCTAGTGTAAGTACCTGAAAATGTCTACAAATTGAAATAAGTCATCTCGCCAAAACTATCTACAGTACCCATATCTTTTTTTTAATTGCCTGCATCATTATTTCTATATTGCAGTTGCTGCCACATAGTATATATGATGGCCCCAATCCACCTATTTTCTCTGGCACTGCTGATGTTGACTTACGAGTAAGAAGTGTTGCTGCTGAAACAATAAGTGACACAGATTTTCGTCGGCAAAGTGCTCAGTTTGGTTCCGGAGATATGGACATGAGAAGAGACCGTTCCTCAAATATTCTGTCTGCACATATCTTCTCGGCCCAAGACACTGACTTGCGGTTAGTATTAAAACTATCTAGAAAAGTTCAGTCGGTACTTTTAAATCCAGGCAATTTTGCTGTTATGAAACATATTTCAATTTGTTTCTCTTTATATATAGGTTTAGACAAGGGAACCCATCAAGGGATTCAGATAGTGACTATGCAGCTGCTTCTCAAAGTGATCTGGATCTGAGAAGAATGCAAATGATGCTTCCATTCAAACCTGCACCAGTGCATACACCTGCAACTGAAATTAATGCATCTTTGGCATCCTACACTCCGGGTGCATACCGTGTTGTCGAAATTGATATTCCCAAGCCAGATCTTTCAAGTTTAAAAGTTAACCCAAGAGATCAACAAGTAAGTCTATTTTGCAACTTTTTACGGAAATCACTTAACTAACAGCACAAATTTAGTAACTAAAACAATAAATTTTTTGGTGCAGGTAAAGTTAGACCCAAGGTTACAACGTTGGTTTGGTATGGTCCAGCCCGACAATGCTACAAGTAGTACACCATCATCTCCGCCCATTGAATCATCTTTACAGACATCTGTTCCACTTACTCCTCTTGCTGCCCGCTCTGATCCACGGCGAAGAAATAGTAATTCTAGTTTACCTACGAGGCCTGCTGATCCCCGACAGTCAAGAATGGGAATAGGAACTGCTTCTGGCTTGTGCCCACCTACTCCTAGAGTGGATGATTTTGATGATCATCCCGTGGCAGACACTGACCTTCGGATGCAAGCACAGTTTGGAAGACAGCAGGGGCAATGGGATAATACAAACAATAGAAGAGGACTTCTCCCACATCCTGACTCCAGTTGGATGCCAAACCCAGCAGCTTCATTTGGACGTGCAACCCATATGCAACCACATTCTTACCACCAACAGCGATCATATACGCCACCTCCTACATAGCATTAGAATTAACTAGGTTGTTTTTGGAAATTAATCAGGAGTGGAATTTGATTCTTTCCCATTAAATTCCTCAATTTTATGTTCAATTTTATTTTTTTTCAGTAATTTTAATTACAAATTACACCTGTGATTTAAGTAGTTAATTGGTGTTTTCAGCCCTCTAATGCATGCAGGACATGTCTGCCTTAACATTTTTGATCTTAAAGAGCAGATGCAGGTATGTGATTGATTGTGTGTTTGTATGTAATGTATGTTTGTATGTATGTAGATAGTGATTTGAGCAATATGTGGAGTTCATAGAACGCTGTGATCTTGAACTTGTTTCTTGAAACATTTTATTTTGTACTGAACTAGTATTGTTTACAATTATTTTTTATCATGTGTTTGTTGGATAATAAAACTGCTGTCAGTATAGATGGCTAAGAATGGCTAATTTGAAGTGGATGTAATTTTCATCCGTAGGACAAATATTTATCTTATAGTCTAATATATAAAATAGTGTTAATTATTTCTTCAATAGCTAAGAATATTTAGAACATTTAGATTGTGAACTTCATCTTTATGAAGTCTAGTCTTTTCATACATTTTTCATTGTTTGTTGTTGTTGTTATAGACTTTCAGTGATAGCTGCTTTCCACTGTAGACAACTATGGGACTGATTTCTTTTTAGTAGCTCTCACCTTTGGCTTCCAACTTTGGGCCAACGCTCATGCACCAATTTATCGTCCTTAATTACAACCATAAGATCTTCAATGTAGTTCTCCAAAACCTGGCTGTGATATTAATAGGTTTGGAGCCCTAGTTAGGGCTTGTTCTAATTAGGGCTCTCTTTAGTGATGTAAGGTAACCCTTATAATGATTAATGCTTTTGGGTTTTAATAGTAATAAATAAAAACTCTTTTCTTGAGTTATTGTTCATCTTGAGGATGAATGTTTTGTTCAGCTATTGTATATGTCAAAAATGTGATGATCAAAGACTATTTGTCATTATTATTTATATGTTGCATGTGGCCAAAACACTGCCAACAGCTTTGCAGTATCCTTGTCAATATTTGACTTAGTAGCTTTAATCCCACTGCATTATTGTTTTCATTTAATAGACTGCTGATCTGATGTCAAACGTTGTCAAACGTTGTCAAATGTTCAATTGCTTTTTAGTTGTTTGTTGACTCATTTACATGATCGCAAGCGTATAGATTACATCATATTTCTTGCTTTGATTATTTGCAATGCAAACCATTACCTTTATTAGTCAGACAACACTCAAACTTATGAAACGTGCAAAATTGTATTTAAAATTTCAATCTAGGTGCTTTGGCAATTTATTACTGAACATAGACTTAATAAATTAAGCAATATTCTTTTAAGTGCCAACCATTGGTTTGTGATATACTGGTAAGAATTATGCAAGACCTATACACAGGCAATAGGACAAATATGTACTTCATTGTAAGCAAGTTTTTAACTTGGAATTAAACCAAAATAAGAAAATCAGATTATGAGTCTTTGATAATAGCATCCACTATCTTCTGTATGTTTCCCAAACTTTACCACTGTACAGAAATAAATGCAGAGAACTTCTCCATCAGAAAACTCAACTTACAAACTCAAAAATTTCGTGAATTAACTACTGACACTCGGAGAAATTGTGCTGTTTTAAACACTGACAGGAAAGGGTGAAATATCAAACCGAGGTATTTACTGTTTAGTTCGTATTTTATTGATAGAAAGTCAAATGCGATGATACACTTCCACTGAGGTGGAGTGAAGCAAACAAACTTTTAGCAGACAACAAGCGTCCCCTTGCTCACACGAAGCAACGGGACGGAAAATTTTTCAACGAACCTACAAATGTGAGCTACAACTTCAGGCAACGGACGCAGACGGAGTCCTGCCTCTATCGGCACTGAGTGGCAGGATACCGCTGACTCGGTGCCGTGGACACGGATTGAGGAGGTTATGGCACCCCCGCGACGACAACGTACAGCAGGCAGAGAGCGTTGATCGCCTCCAGCGTTGCAGCACTCGGGGCTCGGGGTCTTGGGCACAAGTAGAACGCACTAGGTTCCAGGGTGTTGGGGACTGCGAACGCGAAGTTAAGCACGGTCGCGGGGCCCCGGGGCACAGACGGGGCCGAGGCGAGGGCGGTCCGTCGGGGACCTACGCGCGGCGACGACGCGGCTGCTAAACACTGACACCCGCTAGAGTCCTACCCGGCCGAGGGCGCGACACACGCTTTTCACTGAAATTGTGCCTCGGGTAGGAGAAAAACCGACGGGGAAGGAAAGGGAGGAGCTTCGGGGCCCCCGATATTTTCACGGCACGAGGGTGGGTGATAAAAGCGGCTCCAAGTACGATTACGGAAGCCACGCCTCCCGGGGCCCTGCTGCTCTGGGATTGGTTGGCGGGGAAGGCAGGGGAACGGCAACGGGCGCGTCAACACCACTGTTCCCTTGGTCTGCTTGCTCGAATGAAAGAAGAGAGGCCAATATTTTTGTTCTCTGGCTCTAATGACGTTCCTGGAACATTATCTGAATGCGCGAGTTAGAGATAGAACGTCTAGAGAGACCGAAATAAGGGAAGATAGGGGCTGACCAATCACAGGTTTGTTGTAAAAAGCACGATAAAATTGTGCGCAGACGCGGTGCGCGGTGGCGCAGGTACTGTAGAGTCCAAGCTGGGATCTGTTCACACGAACAGTGGAGCCAGCTTAATATTTAGTCTTCAGTATTAATAGCGAACTCATCAAAGACCCCTTTCCAAGGATAATGATTGCCATCACATGATGGGCACATTAAGTGAAAGATACACGCCGAAATAAATCATCAAAAAGTGTATCTCGCTGTTGCGCCATAACACTGCATTAACGTAAAAGTCACCAAAATGAACTCCAGTACGCTTTAAATGTCTCATCTTAATAACTACTCAGTTTAGTGCAGATGATCCTTTCTCATTCCCCCTCTCCTAGTGTCGCTCACTGTTAAGCGAGACGTCGACATGTGTCGGTAGTCGTGACGTCACTCGACCAATCAGAACGCACCGCTCCTTGTTCCCAGCCTTTGTAACCCCCGTAGGACATAGGCATGTAACAGGACGGGTGAGTGTTTTCAGAATAATATTTTGTTCATGAAATTTTCACTGGGAACGGGACGACGTAGGGCGCTGCTGGTGGTGGTTCTGGCGGATACTGTGAATGAAATATTTTGCTTTCAACTCGTGTCATTATCTGAGCCGTTTGCCGAGGCTGTCGGAAGTTAGCGTAAATGAAAGGATTAGAAGCTTATTGAAACCTTGTGCCGCGCTCGACTCGCGGCCGCGCGGTCGCGGCGGGGGCACTCTCTGTGGCCGCGGGAACGCGCGGCACGTTCGCGTCTATGCCAGAACACCACAATCACGCTCTTCGTCGGCTGGTTGCCCTTACTTCAATGCGCATGGTTTCAAATATCTTCTTTGGATTGTTCCCCTGCTCTCCTCACCCCTCTCCTGTGTCGCCCCCTCCCCTGACCCTGGCCTCCCCCGCACCACCGCAGCCCGTCGGCGTCCCCGTGGAGGCCCGGCCCCAGCCCGCAGGCCCGCCCCAGCCCCCTCCAGTGCCATGGTGTGGCCGAGTGGCCCTCCCCTCCTCTCCTTCTCCAACCTCCGGCCCCTCCCAGCCCCTTCTACCCCTCCAATCCCTGATTTCTTGTCGTAGCCTGATTGCACACCCTAATCGCATAGCCTGTTCGCAAGGGAAGGGGCATGGGAATAGGGGAGGGGGATTTGAAGGGGGG